TCCTTCAGTATGTTTTCTCGAAGTAGGGACGGTGGTACAGCTCTCTCCTTCAGTATGTTTTCTCGAAGTAGGGACGGTGGTACAGCTCTCTCCTTCAGTATGTTTTCTCAAAGTAGGGACGGTGGTACAGCTCTCTCTCTCTCTCTCTCTCTCTCTCTCTCTCTCTCTCTCTCTCTCTCTCTCTCTCTCATTCTCTACTGCAGATTCCACTCGTGCACAGGATGGATTACCCTCATAAATGAAACTTCTCATCAGAAAGATCCTTCAGTATGTTTTCTCGAAGTAGGGACGGCGGTACAGCCCCTTGAGAAAGCAATGAATTAAGTCTCTTCTTTTACAGTTAAAAATAAACAGACTTTGCAAATGTTAGTGCTCTGTGGATCATCACAGTGCTTTCTCACAAACACTCGTGTAACCTTGTCTTACTGTGTTGGCAGCATAGCATAACTAGATAACTGTGGGCGTCTAAATCTGATCGGCAGAGGGTCTGGTAGCACTTGCATGGTATTGATTCTGCCGCCATGTTCACGGGGCAGCATTTCTTCTCATCGTTCCCGGACTGCAGGCAAATGAGTAGGAGATCTGTAGGTCCAGGGTGTGTGCCTCCTGGGTTACCTGCATTCAACTGTCTACTACCGAGTGCAGTCTTTTACTCCAACCATTATTTTTTTCATACTATACCCCCCTCTGCCTTGACCGTCCACCCCTCTCGTGCAGATCCCAATTTCCAATTCTGATGGTCTTCGCCTGGGGCACAAGCCACCCCACAGTTTGCGATTCCCTGATTACAATCATCCTCACAAGGACTGTGCATCAAGCGTGATATCTCCTGGGCCCTGCCTGATGTCATACAGCCAACTCGTCCGTTTGTTTGTTTGTTTGTTTGTTTGTTTGTTTGTTTAATTTTTTAGCAATTGGCAATGCTGGTAAAACAGAGCAACATCGGGAAAAACATACATATCGTATCCTTCGATCACCTGGTACGTTGGCTTCAAAGTTCAAACGCACTAAAGCCTGTTTAGGCAGGTTTGCTTCTTTCAACACTGATTCCCTGGCGTGCGAGCATACGTGAATTTTTTGTCACTATATTATTCTCGTTTCATAGACGAAGCTATATACCCTACCAGTTGGCCTCGCCCAGCCGAAATTGATGCTGACAAGCTGTAACCGGTACCGTCTTCACACGAATAGAACGCCCTGTCATTATCACGGTATCTAGACGCAAAGTTGCCCCAAATACAGCTATAATGACCGGGCGTTGTATTCCGGGGAAGAAGGTAGATCACACAGCATGGCATACGTTCCAGCATACGTACACGCCAGGACACAAGTCTGTGAGTCTGGCTGAGCAGACGTCTTAATGCACATGTGTGTACCCTGATTCCTCCTCCTCCTCCTCCTCCTCCTCCTCCTCACTCTGTCATCCTTTTCCCCACTGACGGCTTTTCCATTCCGGTCTTTCAAGTTTCAACCACCTTCCACTCTTTCTTGTGGCCCCATGATATGATATGATATGATATGATATGATATGATATGATAATGATATGATTAGATATGATATGATTAGATATGATATGATATGATATGATATGATATGATATGATATGATGTGTTCGGGGAATTTTCTCCCTGTGCTCTCAGCCACTCTCGCTTATTTTTTCAGCCAGATATAGTTTCTAGGGAATCAAACTGATTGATCTACGAAAGAATGAAGTACCTAAGGAATCAAGCCGATCACATAAAAGGAAGAAAAATGATCGCCTTGTACTCTGGCTTTTGCACATACATCAAGGCATGGCCGTATATAAACAAGCGGAAGTAGGACAGCAGGTCAAGAAAAGTCCCCATCCCTCAATCCGTCTGGCTCCCATTCACTACTGTCCTTCAACAGCTCCCTTGCTTTTTGACGTCCAATGATGACGACAACAACTTCAGAGGGAGAGCGCAAAAGAAGAGGTCCGACAAAGAAGAAAAGAAAAGCTGAGGAGGAGGAGCTCTGACGTATGCACTTGCTCCCTTCTTTATGAAAAACACACACACAAACAGACGCAGTTCACCTGAACACGGTGCTCAACAAAAAAAGAGTCCCGTAGTGGCAAACACGGGCAACCCACCAAACTACAATAGCAGACCCCTCTCCTTATATATCCTTCCTTCCTTCCCTGTCTTCTTAGCTTTTTCCTCGCTTGGTTAATTCCAAGCCCCCCAGAATAGCAATGCAGACACCAACAAGGAAATACAGCCAAAGGAACCGCAGTGAGCATGCAAGCACTTGTGTGTGAACTGTGAAAACTGACTTCTCCCTTCTGGGGATCGAGGAAGCCCGAGACAGCAAAGGCGACCTCTGTGTGTGTGTGTGACTCAGCTCGTCAAGCACAAGATACGAACAGGCGAGAGAATCACGCATGCATGCGTGCTGTAGCCATTGGCACTGGCTTGGAGCAAGAGGCCAGTCATGTTGGGTGTTGGGGAAGAAGCAGACCGTATTTGCAGCCAGTGTCAGTGGCTACAGCACACATGCATGGCGTGCATGCATGGCGTGCATGCATCATCTCCATCTACTAAAAAGGCTTAAACAAGCCGCCTGCTGCAAGGCCGCTTGGTTTGGAGAAGGAAAAACGAATAGAACACGTGAACAACAAACATGCTGAAGGAGCTGACCTCATCTAGCAGACTAAGATCAAGGACAGGCTTCTCATGAACAGACAACATGAATCACTCGAGTAAACGGGGACCCAGCACGTGTTTCTTTCGTCTCCAAGAAGAAAGAGAACAAGTCCTCGACGAGTAGACAAAGGAGGGGGGGGGGGGGGTTCAGTACATGTTTCTTCAGATCAGAATAGAAGCATCCATCTTCTGCACCACCGAGGGCGTGCATCAAACTCCCTAGGAAAAGTGGGAAAAAGATTTCTCAGACTCCACAGTCTGTCTTTCGCACTTGCGACGCCATCATCATGTTCAAAGGCAAGATTATCTGTTCTCACAAATCAGTCAAAATACAAACATAGACGCCAAGCGGTGTTCTGCACAGCCATCTCAGACCACAACAACACCGTCATTCCCCCTCTCCCCGGCCCCGCCTCCCGCCCAGACCATAGAGGTTTCCTCCAGACAAGTCTCAATCTTTCTTTCTACAGGAAACTCTGAGCCCGCTACGAATAAAACGTACGGTCATGATAGTGGTATCTGGACTAAAATGCGGCCCAAGTTCAGCTATAATGACCGTACGTTTTATTTCCGGTGAAGAAGGTAGAGCACACTCCAGAGGCCACCACCACCAGTCTATAGAACCCATAGTCCGCATACTTCCGGCTTCACCCGCTCGGTCATTAGAGTCTGTATTGAGGGCAACTTTACGTACAGATGCAGCGCTAACTACCGGGCGTTCATTTCTGTTCGGGTTAATACGGTAGTTAGTCATCCACAAAAACTAATTGTGTTCCCCGCTCGCGTAGCACCCTGCAACGATCCGAAAATAGAAAGCACCGACTCACATGGAACAAGCACGCAGATCAGATAAAAGGTATAACAGGAGATGTCCCACGTGCTTTTCACTGGAGCGAGGCTTGTGCGAGAGGTTAATCACACCACCACCGGCGACGTGCGACCGGCCGGCAAGGACAACCGAAGAAGAAACTCTCTCTCTCACTGAACTGAATGAGAAGTAGGCAAAAAAACGATTGTTACGGTGATACCAACCGTGAGGAGGAGAAGAAGGATTAGAGGAAGAAGAGGAAAAAGAGAAAGAAGAGAGGAAGAAGAAAAAGAAGAAGAAAGAGTGGTGGCGGCAATAGAGCATTTCGACATGATCGAAGGCATAACGACGCAGCAGTTCCCTTCGTTTTCTCAAATGAACGAACGATTTGCCTTTCTCAAACAGCAAGGAATAGGCAAAAAAAAATCAAAGGCAACTACACAAATACCGAACGTGAGGAGAAGAGGAAGAAGAAGAAGAAGAAGAAGAAGAAGAATGGTGGAAACAGTGGCCAACTGCCTTTCGTACACGCATCGAAAGCTCATCATTACATAGCCGCGCGTACTCATCGCAGGGGGCTCACGCGCACAATCCCCGACGCGTTTCGATCGGTTGCGCGCCGATCATCTTCAGGGGGTTTTCCACATAACCCTGCCTCGCGGTCCGCCGACAAACCTCCCGTCTTACTGAGCATTAGAGGACCGATACGGCCTTGTCCTCCTATACTTGTGGCTACACAGCAGCAGCATATCAAACTACTCCGCAGCGAGTTTTGCAAACGGCATTTCTGCATCATCAAAGACATGATGACTCAGCTTCGCACGCTTCCTCAAATGACTACCCGGAGCAATGCCACTCTCTCCGATGAACTGCGCAGCCGTCCTTGCGCGAAGCTCCTCCAGACCCTCCCCTTCCTTCGCCCTCTCCAGGACCAGATGGCGGCCGTAGAGATGGCTGTGCCGCAGCGCTTCATACGCATTCTGCGCCTCCTGCTTCGTCGTAAACTCCACAAATGCGAATCCTCGATGCGATCCGTCGAACTTCTTCGGCAGCCGCAAGCTCTTCACCTGTCCAAACGGCGCGAAAAGCTGTCTGAGGTCCTTCGACGTGGCTTCAAACGCCACGTTCCTGACAATGACCTTGGTCGAACTGAGAGTGGAGTCGCTCTTTTCCTTCTTCAACTCTGCTCCTCCTCCTCCTCCTCCTCCTCCTTTCCGCTGCTCTTCGCGGCCTTGCGCTCCCCCCTTCCTCGTGTCCTGGCTAAGCTGCAGCATGAGAGCATGCCCATCCAGCATGCTTCCTTGCAGCTGTTTGACAGCCGCTTGCGCGGACTCCACGGAATCGAACTCCACAAATCCGAATCCCATGGACAACTGCGCGCCATTCTTCGCCTTCTTCGTCTTGATGGTCACGCGTCTCAGCTTGCTCTTCGGAGTCGTCCTATCCAAGAAGAACTGCCGAAGGACAGACTCCGTCGTGGAGAAGTTGAGATTCTTGACAAATAACGAGCAGCCCTTGGCGCCATCGCCAGCCGCATCCTCGTCAGCGTCCACGCCCGCAAGTTCCTCCGCGTGGAGGTGTTTGGCATCCATCATGCCCTTGGAGATCATCTTCCCCGCCGCCGGCGCCGGCGGAGTCGCCGCATCCTTCCGCAGCACGCCTTCTGGGGCCCACTCCAGGTAAAGCGGGACGTGCTTGAACCGCTTGTAAGCCAGCGCTTTGAAGGCGTTTTGCGCATCGGCGGCGACGGAGAACTCGACGAGCGCGAGCGTCCTCGTCGGCGGCAGAACCACGCGCCCCAGCTCGCCGTGGCGGCTGAACATGTGGGTGATCTCCGCGTGAGTGGCCGAGAAAGGCAAGTTCTTCACCAGGATGACGGATTTGCTCCGCTTCACGGCGGCGGCGGGATCGGTCGTCGGCTTCTTCTTGTCGCCGGAGCGCGAGAGCTGCTCCAGCGCGCACACATCCACACCCTCCGCCTGGAGCGCCTTCTTCGTCACCGCAATGATCTGAGTCTCACCCAGCGCCATGCGCACTGCAAGATCGTCCGCCGAGGCATCCAGAAGCTCGCCCTTCGTGATTCCGTACTTCTGGACGATGTTCTCTGCCACCGTGTCACTGCGCATAAACAGCGAGTTCCACGACTGAATCCTGCCCTTCGCTTCCGCCGCCTTCCGCGCCGCTTCCCGCTCTTGCTTGAGCGCCGAACCCGGTCCCCTCCTCTCCCTTCCTCCCCCCGCCCCCCCCCCCCCCCCTTGTTCGTCTTTCTCTTGTGACTCCGGGGCCCGTTTGGCGGGCAATATGTGAAGAAGACGGCCCTGGAATATGGACCCGTCCAGCTGCTGTTTGGCAGCGACGGCGTTCTCGGGAAGCATGAACAACACGTAGGCGAACCCCTTGTTGCGCTTCTCCCGCTTGTCCATGACCAGATGCACGTGCGAAATCTCTCCGAACCCGCTGAACAGTTCCAACAGATCTTCTTCCGACGCACCGTAAGGTAGGTTTCGCACAAAGAGCCTCCCCGACTCCGCGATCCCCTCCTCCTCCTCTGCATCCACCTCCGCAGGCCGATGTCGGCCCTTCGCACGCACAACCTCCTCCTCCTGCTGCTTGTCGTCCATCACCTCGTCCTGCATCTCCTCCGTACCGACCTCATCACCTTCCCCCTTCTGTATGCCACTACGCCCGCCCTTGACCTCCTCCCTCCCCCTATCTGCTGCTGCTGCAGATTGTCCCCTTTTTCTTTCCTTACGACGATCTTCGTAATCACGATCATCACCGTCATCATCATCATCATCATCATCATCATCACTGTTCTTCCCATCGGTCGAAGTAGACGCATCATCGGCAAGGTGCTCCTTGGCACCGCTCCTTTCATCGTCGTCGCTCGAACGACCGCCTTCGTTCCCGATACTTGTACCCTCGTCCTCCTTGTGCGCTAGCTTCACCCCGTCCTTGACGTCAACAACAACTGCCCCACCAGCGATCCTAGTTCCCCCCCCCCCCTTGACTGGATCTGCACGCTCGTCGTCCTCAATCTGGACCTCACCTGCCTCACCATCGTCATCGCTCCAGTCTGCCTTCACTCTGCTTTTCAAATAATCCATGTCCGAGACATCATGATTTTGCACCACTCCATCATCATGTTCCTCTTCCTCCCCCTCCTCCTCCTCCTCCTCCTCATCATCATCATCATCAGAAGCAGCAGCAGCAGCTGCTGCATCGTCACGGTGCTCCCTACCATGTTTTGCGCGCGGCCGCCGCCGCCTGCTTTGCGCTTCCGACGATTTCTCCTCCACCATCGGCACGTCTTCGTAAAGCTCGCTGTCGTCATCACTGGAGTCCGCATGTTCGTTTCCCTCAGCCCCCCCCGCCCCCCCCGCCCCCCCCTCCCTCCCGCTTTCGCCATCGCTTTCTTCGTCCTCCTCCGCGTCGAACCGCACGTGCATCTGTCTCAATTTCACCCCGCTCCTCCCCTTGCCGATGGGAACTCTGCGCTGGAAGCCCTCAACTTCCTTCACGCGCAATTTGCCCTTCAGCCCCTCCGCGGCGGCAACGGCAGCGGCCCCACCCTCCTGACGACCATCGGCACCAACCACTCTCTGCTTCTGCTTATTATTACCGCCACCACCACCAACACCACCCTCCTTTCCTTTGCTGGGAGTGATCTCCTCTCCGTCACCGACCGTGTCATTCGCCCACAATTTCATGGCCCTCCGAGGCTTCATGACCTCCATGAACTCGCGGAACTTCGGGTCGCTTTCCACCGTCTCCTGGCGATGCTGCACTTTGCTGCCTTTCTCCTTCCCCCCTCCCTTCCCCTCGTCCTCCGCTCTTTTGCCCGACTCAATCGACTTCACGTAGGCGTTTTCGAAAGCCGATGACCCGTGCGAATGTCTGCTCCAAGGCCGCGGTAGGGAGGCATCTCCCACCTGCCGGGCAATTTCGCAGGAAATCCGACACGTGTCAATGAACGAGCGGTGAAAGTACTTGGCCGCCTCCACCGCTTCTTCCTCCGTACGGTAGCCGATGAATCCGAACTGCCTTGATCTGCCATCGCTGGTTTTGATGATCTTAACATCCGTGACAGTTCCTTTGGTGGCAAAATGTTCGCGAAACCGATCTTCACTCAAATACCTCGGAATATTCTTCACACATATTCTTGACGTCGCATCGGACGGACCATGCGCGGGCGCCATCTCATCTATACATACATATATATATATGTATGTATATATGTATGTATGTATCTGTGTGTGTCTAACTCCGCAGCAGATTGATTGGATAACAATCACCTCCACCACTCGAATCAAGGACTCAATCAATCAAGCGATCGATCGATCGATCGATCGGTCGGGCGGGCGATCGGTATCACGAGGCGATCAATCACCGCCGTAGGTTGATCGATTGACAAATGACGATGACGATGAGATTCAAGGACCAGTGAAACGCACATCACGTCGTGAAGCAGAAGTATACGTGTTCGGCAGCAGCAGCACCATCACCACCAGATGGCATTCTGACATCCAGGCTGTGAGAAAAGCGCAGAGCGGCTCCTCGGATAGAGCTGCAACCGCATTCCAGCCGTTGATAGCGTGCTTGTATCAGCGTTTTTCCATGCATGATGTACTCATTACTGAGAGAACTTCTTTGAGGGGAGGGTTGGGCGGGACGGAGAGAACGTCATTGTTAATCTTTTTTTTTCCCTGCCTTATCAAATCCTAACCCTAAATAAATATATAGTCTCCAGCTCCAATACAAGGCAAGGACGGTTTAAACTCGCAGAGGCCCCACCCATGTGGGTTATGTAATGCAAGCACAACACACACACACACACACACACACACACACGCACACACACACACACACACACACACACACACACACACACACAAGGAACGGAAAATAATAGGGACGCCCGCCTCTGCAGCTCCTCTTCCACCCAACTTACTCAATGGTCGTCGAATATCCAAAATAAATCGCAACAAAGTCAAAGCGTAATCTAAAACAAGAAAAAAAAAAAAGAGAGATGA